CCACTGGTGTTGCTACTCTAGCCTTGCAACACCTCGTGCTCCCTCACAATCTCCTGACTCTTGCTGGCACCTGTCTTGATGTGTTTTCTAAATGACAAATCATCTAACACTGCATAAATATTATTATAAAAGTTACATTGTTACAAATTTGTGTGTAAGTAGATATGTAATATACATATAAATACACTTGATTTGCATACATAATTACGTATTTAATTACGCAATTATGTTATTAACTATTTTAATTATACATTGGCCGTTTCCCACTGCTTCATGAAGAACAAACATTCACTGTGCTGTACCTTGATCCAAGGAATTGAAGCTGGTTTGTCCCATGGAACAAATCAGATTGCCTCCTATTTCCCAGGCACTACACTGGTACTACTGGTACCAGTTGAAAACGGTATAGAATACCGACATATTGACGATTAAGACACATGTGCAACAGTTGGGTATCTTGGTTGTTGAAACGTTTCTCCTACACAGTGGGCTTCTTCAGTTAGATAAAGGCAGGTGGTGTAGTAGTGAAGAGAAATAGTATTTGAGGTGATCAGTCCCTCAGCCTGGAGAAGAGTTCAACTCCATGGCATCCACTATGGTAACATGAATGTAGATAAATACGTTTATTGGAGCAACTTTTAACGTGAACAGACTGGTTCGTGTAGGAGGCAGGCTTAGGCTTGATTACAAGTATTTCTGGCAGTTTAACAAACACACACATGATCAAACCAAATGTAAAATATGTGGGCAGCTCTATGGTCACTATCCTCAACACTGTGGGCAGCCCTATGGTCACTATCCTCAACACTGTGTGCAGCTCTATGGTCACTATCCTCAACACTGTGTGCAGCTCTATGGTCACTATCCTCAACACTGTGTGCAGCTCTATGGTCACTATCCTCAACACTGTGTGCAGCTCTATGGTCACTATCCTCAACACTGTGTGCAGCTCTATGGTCACTATCCTCAACACTGTGTGCACTCTATGGTCACTATCCTCAACACTGTGTGCAGCTCTATGGTCACTATCCTCAACACTGTGTGCAGCTCTATGGTCACTATCCTCAACACTGTGTGCAGCTCTATGGTCACTATCCTCAACACTGTGTGCAGCTCTATGGTCACTACCTCAACACTGTGTGCAGCTCTATGGTCACTATCCTCAACACTGTGTGCAGCTCTATGGTCACTATCCTCAACACTGTGTGCAGCTCTATGGTCACTATCCTCAACACTGTGTGCAGCTCTATGGTCACTATCCTCAACACTGTGTGCAGCTCTATGGTCACTATCCTCAACACTGTGTGCAGCTCTATGGTCACTATCCTCAACACTGTGTGCAGCTCTATGGTCCACATCCTCAACACTGTGTGCAGCTCTATGGTCACTATCCTCAACACTGTGTGCAGCTCTATGGTCACTATCCTCAACACTGTGTGCAGCTCTATGGTCACTATCCTCAACACTGTGTGCAGCTCTATGGTCACTATCCTCAACACTGTGTGCAGCTCTATGGTCACTATCCTCAACACTGTGTGCAGCTCTATGGTCACTATCCTCAACACTGTGTGCAGCTCTATGGTCACTATCCTCAACACTGTGTGCAGCTCTATGGTCACTATCCTCAACACTGTGTGCTTAATTGTCCACTTATTGAGGGATATGGAGATAGAAAGTATAATAATATATATATGATATGTCAAGAAAGTAAGATACCATACATATTTGCTTACAACGTAAGTCAGTTGTAGATATAAACCTAGTTGTAGATATAAACCTAGTTGTAGATATAAACCTAGTTGTAGATATAAACCTAGCTGTAGATATAAACCTAGTTTGTAGATATAAACCTAGTTGTAGATATAAACCTAGTTGTAGATATAAACCTAGCTGTAGATATAAACCTAGTTGTAGATATAAACCTAGTTGTAGATATAAACCTAGCTGTAGATATAAACCTAGTTGTAGATATAAACCTAGCTGTAGATATAAACCTAGTTGTAGATATAAACCTAGTTGTAGATATAAACCTAGTTGTAGATATAAACCTAGTTGTAGATATAAACCTAGTTGTAGATATAAACCTAGCTGTAGATATAAACCTAGTTGTAGATATAAACCTAGTTGTAGATATAAACCTAGTTGTAGATATAAACCTAGCTGTAGATATAAACCTAGTTGTAGATATAAACCTAGTTGTAGATATAAACCTAGTTGTAGATATAAACCTAGCTGTAGATATAAACCTAGTTGTAGATATAAACCTAGCTGTAGATATAAACCTAGTTGTAGATATAAACCTAGTTGTAGATATAAACCTAGTTGTAGATATAAACCTAGTTGTAGATATAAACCTAGTTGTAGATATAAACCTAGTTGTAGATATAAACCTAGCTGTAGATATAAACCGTAATGCTGTGCATACAAGTGGCTTTGGCATGCTGCTCTTACCTGTATTTTTTTGTACCTCTATGTTCAAAATATTAAATAAATGTATGGCTGTTAACCTTTTTGGGCCTAGTTCCTAGGCCTTTTTTTTTCTTTTATCCATATGCTCTTGCCCTACCCTCCACAGGATGGATATAAGGTGCACAGTAAACTAGCCACTACCCTCCTCAGGATGGATATGGGGTACACAATAAACTGTCTACTTCAGAAGCAAAATCTATTTCAACTTCCATCTTTTGTACATCCTTCCCAATCGCCTGTGACTGGTTTTAACGGTTTTTACTGTCAAAGGCTGGTCTGAGGCCGAGCTGTTGATTAATCAACTAGACTGTTAATGCCATCAGCCCACAGACCCCTGATCTGGCACTTACAGGAGATGAATGTCTTTCTTCCTCCTGAAGACTTCTGTCTCCCATCCCACAGAATTCCTAACATCTGCTAACAGCTTAAAGAGACTAAGAACTTTTTCTACTGAATCTCCCATATAATTACTGGCAAATAAACATAACAGTAGACAGTTATATTACACGGTAGTTACGTTCCTGAAAACGCTGTTGGGTAAATCCGTGTTAGATAAACTGAAGAACTTATGGGAAAAATAGGGTTACATTCCTGGGACTCCCAAAAAAGCTAAACTTTTTTTTCAGACCTCCATATCTTACAAAAATAAAAGTAATAGTTTTTTTTTATTGCTTAAGACTACAAATGCTGTCATGACTTATCAGGTGTCAGCCATTTACATTTTTTTTGAGAAGCTATTTAGATATTGAACACGGATATGACTTCTTATTGTGCGAATTCTCGTGTGTGTTACGGAATTAGATTAATCTAAAAAATTCTTTTGGACACTGAAGACTGATAGTTTCTCTCTAGTATGAGTTTTCATGTTATAATAAATTACTTGTGGGGAATTTTTTTTGACTTTCTAAATACTGATATGATTTCATTTCAGTATGAATTCCCATGTGTTATGTTCGAACAAATTTTCATGAAGTATTTTAAGTTAAGTTACGTTTGTCAGGAAACAGGACAAGTGTTTCCTGATAATGGTCTTTCAGACACTGTGAACACTGATATGGTTTTTCTCCAGTGTGAATTTTATATTTAGCACACACCAGGGTTTTTCAAAATTGTGTACAGTAGGTATCTGGCCCTCAAATATTTTCAGTGACTTAGAGCATTAATGTTTGTATTTCATTGAGGCATGACTTTTTAATAGAGAAATGTCTGAATACTAACTCATTATTTTGAAGTATAATATATAGTTGGAGTGTGAGCAGAGTAACATTTATGAAAGGATTCAGAGGAAACTGGTTAGCTGGACTTAGAGTCCTGGAGGTGAGAAGTACAGTGTCTGCACTCCGAAGGAGGTTTACCTGGAGAGGGTTTCGGGGGTCAACGCCCCCCTGTGGTCCGGTCTGAGACCAGGCCTCATGGTGGATCAGGGTCTGATCAACCAGGCTGTTACTGCTGGCCACACACAAGCTGACAGGTGGAATATGTTGCTGCTTTTGAATTGTAGTATCGACTTGCCTTTGGCAAGACAGTGATAGAATGAGTAACGGTGAAAGTATTTTCATCTTTTTCAGGTCACCCTGCCTTGGTGGGAGATGGCTGATGTGTCAGAAAATTAGATAATGTATTATCTGACTCGAGAAATCGTAATGACACGATTGCAAACAAACCATACCGGAGTATGGAATGTATTATCTATTATAGTTGGCAGAGTGAACTTGTTGATTCAACACAAGGTGTTACTGCTGCCCAGTTTGTTTCAAGTACAATAGTTTTATTTTCATTTTGTTTCTCTGTATAATTTTGATCCTCTCACTTGTAAGTCTGAGAGTCTTCACCATAGCATCATCTTGTCTCATCCTAAAAAGGTTCTGTTTCCACTTCAAGATGATGCATCCTCTATTTAGGATATTCATAGATTTTTTTTTCCTCAACGTGCCGGCGGCATCTCACCAAGGCAGAGCGGCCTGAAAAGAAAAATGAAAGTTTTTCTTTTTAACCCGTAAACGGTCCAAGCAGATCTACGTTCACATGTGTAGTGCTACAAAAGTAGATCTACGTTTTTTTTACATATTTTCAAATATAACAAAAAAAAAAAGTAGATCAAAGTTTTTTTACACATTTTCAAATGTAAAAAACAAAAAGATCTGCTTTTTTTACGTACTTTCAAATGTTGAAAAAACGTATATATGCGTTTGGACCGTTTATGGGTTAAATTTAGTAATGTATACAGGAGAAGGGGTTACTAGACCCTTGCTCTAGGCATTTTAGTCGCCTCTTACAACATACATGACTTACCTAAGAAACATAGACTTTCTCGAGTGGATTTATTCCCTTCAGGTGCCCCCATATGTATCTTATGGTTGTCTGGCATCTCAATTGCCCATGAAATATGTTTAATATATTTCTGTGAGTATTGCTTAATATATCACAACAGTTACCGAGTTTACTAGTATTATTTATAATGATGGCTGGGAACTAGTTCCCATGAAGGGTCATGTGGATTAACAAGCTAAAAAAAATTTTGTGACTTTCAGTTCCCGTGTGCACGTGCCTGGCAGCACTCTGCAGCTTGGTCATCTGCATCTCTTGGTAAGTAGGCTTTTTCTCCTTTTGCACAGTTGAATTTCCAGGTTAAGTTATCCTAACTTGGCATATTTCAAGGTATGGTATACTACCACTCTTCAGGATGCAACCTACAGCAGACAACCAACACCCTGGTACCTACTTACTGCTAGGTATAGAGGGGCAGCAGGTGTAAAAAAACATGCTGAATGTTCACTATTGGGCTAATCTTGTTTGACAGTTTTATTCCTGTAGCTTTTACTATGTTACAGATTGGCTTTTCTAAGACTTTTTACTCTTATAAATTTTGCGGCAACTTTCATAGTTTTTTGTAAATTTTTGGAAGTCCAAACAGTCATTATTCCTAGTTATGAATGGTTGCAAACACTTGGGTAATACCTTTTATCAAGTGTACAACTATACTGCTTCACCCTTAGGAAGAAGTTAGGCTTTCTGATTGGTGACTTGAGGATGATGAGCTCCTCTACTGGTTTGATACTACATCATGCAAACCTTGTGCCATGATTGGCATCAGAACATTTGCAAACTCGGCCAAAAATAAGTTCATTAATAGACACAAGGTTCAGATATGTTATTTTGAACTCGTAACCCTATACAGAAAAGCCCCACATTTTGGCATCCCTCTTTTTGGTGTTTTGCTATTTTGGCAGTTTTCAAATGAGCCACTGTTCATTATATTCAGTGCTTTTTTCCGCTTTTCCATCATTGTGTGTAAGGGAAAGACGTCCGGTGCCATATTTTAAGGTAAGTGTTGTATGTACTATATATTCGTTTTACATTCGTATTTTTTTTTTTTTTTAGGCCTAGCTGTATTGGTCACTTAATACATATATGATAGTGTAAACATGTTATCAGGCATTTTTGATGCATTCGATAGTGAAAAAACACTTTTTTACTCGTCTGCCATTTTCACATATCAGCTGGGGTCGGGGACCTAACCACCAAAAAACCTGTGCCATATTAAAAAATTGTGAACCTGATTGTGGCACTAGTTTCTAGATTATATCAGCACTGGAGGAAGAGGCATGAAGTGCAGAGGTCTCAAATTTTCTTCCAAAATTTGTAAATTTTCAATTGCAAAGGTTTTAACTAAGCTGTATGATACTCTGTTACTCTTAAGCTTGTGCTCTTTTTTTTTTTTATATTGATACTGTAAATTTATTACAAATAATTAGGTTCCGTAGCATGTTCGACTCTGCAGATATGAACCAGTGGAATTGTGGAGAAAATTGCATACACTAATAGGAGAACAGATTATTTAATAAGTTTATTTATTTCTTGATGCCACTTCTTTCCATCATCTCTTTATGTGGACTCTTGCAGAGCAGGATGAGTACTGTACTGGAAGGTCACTGTTAATACTGTACTGGAAGGTCACTGTTCAGTAGTTTACTGGAAGGTCACTGTTCAGTAGTTTACTGGAAGGTCACTGTTCAGTAGTTTACTGGAAGGTCACTGTTCAGTACTGTACTGGAAGGTCACTTCTATACTGTACTGGAAGGTTAATGTTAATACTGTACTGGAAGGTTACTGTTAATACTGTACTGGAAGGTTACTGTTAATACTGTACTGGAAGGTTACTGTTAATACTGTACTGGAAGGTTACTGTTAATACTGTACTGGAAGGTTACTGTTAATACTGTACTGGAAGGTTACTGTTCAATACTTTACTAGAAGGTTGCTCTTCAATACTGTACTAGATGGTCACTGTTCAAAAATACTTTTTTAAATTGACAGATAACCTACTGACGCTTGGTATCATGGCTTAGTAGCTGGTGTATTGCAGCTAAGTTGACTGGGAGGAGAGGACCTTCTCACTTTCTTATTTCAGACAAAGTGCTGCCAGTTAAGTTTTAACACTACTATTCAGGGTGTCTTTATCTTGTGCAACATGGTTAACTCTAGTGTCTTGGCCTGAAGTTGGAAAAAAATAGATTTAGAAAGGATATAGAAAAGTACTGGTTTGGTAATAGAGTTGTGGATGAGTGGAACAAACTCCCGAGTAACATCATTGAAGCTAAAACGTTGTGTAGCTCTAAAAATAGGTTACACAAATACATGAGTGGGCATGACTTGGACCTGACTGGCTTGAGCCAGTAGGTGATTTGAACCTAACTAGCATGGGCCAGTAGTGCTGTAAATGGTATAAAATACCAACAAGTTGAAGAAAGACGCATGCAAAAATATGGGTATCTTTATCAATGAAGATACCCAGCTGTTGCAAACATGTCTTAATCTTCAGTGGACCAGTAGGCCTGCTGCAGTGCTCCTGAGAACTTGTTGATGCCCACCATCTCTGATGATTAATGTAGTGATGCCCAGGTTTGTTACTTATTCTGCAGATAGTCACAAGATGTTGGTTCTGTTTTTCCAGTGAGTTTTATTTTTTAAATACACCACACAGGGAAACAGTAAACCTGTAGGAGTCATACAATGCCTGGGAAATGAAAGGTATACAGGTTTGTGTAAACTTAATAATCTAGGTAGTATGTCCAGGGATGCCACCACTATTTTACTTTCAACTATTATGACTGATTTCACATTATTCATAATTTTATTTTAGCTTTGTAGTACATATTTATAAAACATGTTTTTAGTGGCAGTTGGTTCTTGGTTTGTGCCAGTCTTGTGTATAGAAGATTGTGAGGTTGACATTGAAGAATGGTTGTATTCTAGCAGGTTATGTAACCAGGGTAGATTCAGTCAAGATAGGTTGTCTTTGGGAACTGACTTGTGCTCTTTGAGGATGAACACGACAGTTATATAGGGACTCGAGTATATCAGCTGTAAAGAATTATAGCCACAGTACCATAACACAGTGACACACCCACTTTAATATGCTCTAGGCATTTTTTTTTTTCAATTACAGTGGAACCTCGTTTTTCGGCCGTAATCCATTCCAGAAAGTCGGTCTAAATTCGAAGCAATATTTCCCATAAGAATTATGTAAATACAATTAATCTGTTCCAGATACCCAAAAATATTCACAAAAAAAAAATACATTTTTTAAAGATTATAGTTTTACATACACAAAATAATGAGAACTAAATAAAATAAATTAAGAACATTTAAATCACTATTGACATACCTTTATTGAAGACTCTTATTGGTTATGGAAGACAAGGAGGAGGAGAGAGGGAGGTCAGATTATTGTATGGAAGAGGAATCCCCCTCCATAAGGACTTCAGGTAACAAGTCCCTCTCTGGGGTCACTTCCCTTCTTTGTCTTTTAATGGTACTAGGACCAGTTTGAGAGTCACTGGACCCCCCCTCGCACAAAATAACTGTCCAGAGTGCTCTGTTTCTGGCGTTTCTTCAAGATTTCCCTAAAATGGGACAATGTTTTGTCGCTGAAGATATGTCTTGGTTTCAACTTAGTCAGGGTGATATTTCTCCACAAAAGTTTGCACCTCATTCCACTTTGCACAAATGTCCTTAATCACTGAAGAAGGCACATCCTTCCCTCCTCCTCCTCCTCCTCCTCTGAAGCAAGTTCCTCAGCTGTGGTCTGTTGCTGTTCTAGTTGGTGTTGCAGCTCTTCAGTGGTTAGCTCTTCCCTGTGGTCCTCCACCAACTCTTCCACATCCTCACGACTAGCATCCAACCCCATGGACTTCCCCAATGCCACAACAGGCAGAGGGTCAACAGGGTCAGCGTCAGCCTCAAACCCTGCAAAATCCTTCTCGAGGACACAGTCTGGCCACAATTGTCTCCAAGAAGAGTTCAAAGTTCTGGAAGTCACTCCCTGCCAAGCCTTACCTATAAGGCTTATACAGTTGTAGATATTGAAGCAATTCCTCCAGAACTCTTTTAGGGTCAGTTCGGTGTCCGAGGTCACTTCAAAACACTTTTGAAATGCTGCTTTTGTGTAGAGTTTTTTGAAGTTAGAAATGACCTGCTGGTCCATGGGCTGGAGGAGAGGAGTGGTGTTAGGAAGCGGCAAGAACTTCTGTTATAAAACGGAAATCCCTAGACAATTGGTCTACCAAGTTTGGAGGATGAACAGGAGCATTCTCCATTAACTGGAGGCACTTGAGTGGCAGTTTATTTTCCAGAGGTATTTTTTCACACTCGGGTCAAAAACTTCATGGACCCAGTCAATGGAAAGTTGCCTCGTGACTCATGCCTTATGATTAGCTTTCCACATCTCGCACAGTTTACTCTTGACGACATTTTTTTTCAACACTGGGATTTTCAGAGTGATACACGAGTAAAGGCTTCACTTTGAAATCCCCACTAGTGTTATCACAGAACAAGAGAGTTAGCCTGTCTTTCATAGGCTTGTGTCCTGGCAGGGCCTTTTCCTCCTCCATGATGAAGGTCCTCTTCGACATTTTCTTTCAAAAAGAGGCTTGTTTCGTCACAGTTGAACACTTGTTGGGGGGTTGGAATTCTTCATCCTCTACGTACCCCTTGAATTCCTGCACAAATTTTTCAGCCGCATGTCTGTCAGAACTTGCAGCCTCACCATGCCTTACAACGCTGAGTATGCCACTACGCCTCTTAAATCTCTCGAACCAGCCACTGCTGGCTAGTACTAGGCATTTTCTTTGAGATCCACATGCAACTGCCTTGCCTTTTCACAAATGATCATCTCTGAAACACTATCTCCCACTGTTTTTCCCTGATCCATAACAACAGCAACAACTTCTCCACTTCTTCATTTGTGATCTCTTTTTTGTTAACATGGTTTACCCCTTTCACCACATCAGCTTCCTTGATTTGTTCTTTCTTTGCCAGGATAGAAGTGATGATTTGTTTTTGCCATACATCCTGGCAAGCTGTAGCACCCGCACACAACTTTCGCATTTTTCTATTACTTCCTTCTTGAATTCCATTGTGTTTCTCACTTTCTTAACCCAAGGAACTCTACTAGGAACTTTCTTGGGGGCCATGGTGACTTATTTCACAGTCACACTTAAAAAAACACCAAAAACAATGTTTTTTAAGGAAATGTTTGGATGAATGCAAGGAGTATATGCTCACTTTCCAACAGACAAAAGAAGGCTGACTTGCCTACACGTGGCGTCAATGTGGGAGGCAGGCTGACGCATCTAATATGGCCAATATACGAGGCAATGGCCAAAATACAGAGCAAAATTTCCACTGAAAAACTGGCCTAAATACGAAATGGCTGATAAACAGTGGCCGAAAAATGAGGTTCACTGTAATAGTTAGTATTAACTGTATTTGGATGATTTCTGTATACATATTTGTGACAAATTCCTTCCAGAATTTCCAAGTGTAAATTATGATGCAACTTCTCACCTGTGTTCAGAGGAGTACAGATCAAAGGATTTCAAATGTTCCCAGTAATTTAGGTGCTTCACTGTACTTACATGTGCTCTGAAGGTTCTCTACATTCTCCAAATCTACAGTTTTACTGGCCTTGAATTGGGCTGTTAGTGTACAGTAGTATTCCAGCCTACATAGAACAAGTGGCTTGAGGATCATTGGCATGGCATACCTTGTTTTGAAGGTTCTCATTATCCATCTTTGTAGACAGCCTGTACTGTCTGCTAGACAGCCTATGCTGTCTGCTAGATTCATATCCCACAGCACTACAGTGCTGCCCCCTCTAGGCCTGCCCAGGTCTGCGAGACACGGAGCCCATCCAGTCTCGCTCCACGGCCTACCCTCATGGGTTAAACAGCCTCCCCTCCACGGACTGGCTATCGGTCATTCCCTCACTCTGCCCATCTTGTACCTATGTGTCAATTAATAAGATTAATAAAGTCAAGCCTAGTCTACCGCTATATCTCTGCAACTTACGCTACCCCTTCTAGTAACCTGCAAGTAATAACAGCATTAACATCTTATCATTTTCCTCACAGTTGTGATGACACTACTGTGATTCTTGACGGTGAGATCCTCTAACATTGTTACTTCTAGTGAGATTGTTGGCAAGTCCAGTATTGCTGCCACTTGTGCTCTGTATGTTCTCTCCAGTATAACTCCATCTCATAATGTGGTTCCTCTGTATCAATCCAGTAGGACTTTTTTTTTTTTTTTTTTTTTTTTTTTTTTAATATTTGGGATATATGTTTTATTCTGGTGTTGGACTATTTTGTTTTTGCCAGTCATTTGTAGTTGTGGAGTCCCACTTGTTTATCTCCAGCTTTTGTATATTTACACTTTGGTTTTGTTTTATATGGTGTTTTTACAAAATTAGGACTTAGTTTTGCTTTTTTTTTTTTTTTTTTTTTTACTTGTCCCCATGACTAAAAATATTAGATACGTTCAGTTCCTCTCGTGAAATACCAAGAAATATAGATTTTTTATGCCAGGTGATGCGACAGAATCTCTGCTCATTGCCAAACAGCGCTTTACTGTTATTAGCATATTCATGCTTTTTCCAGTGTTAATAATAATTATATATTTGTCAAGGATAATACTTGTGTGTGGCTTATGTTGCTGCAGTTTATAACAGCTTTGGAATGTGCATTTATTGGTCTCGTTCTTTTCATTTACTTTTTATTGGTTTGCATCTTTCCTCTTCATTCCCTTCTGCTCCTGTTTCACCGCTTTTCTTTGGGTATTTCATAATTATTCAGTCTAGTTTTAGGCTGAGTTTTTCTGAACTTCCTCGTTTCTTCAATAATAACCCAATAATAATCCTCTTCCAATTCTTCAGACATAAGAGGTAGGCTTTTCAAGAAATTTCAAAATTCATATTATAGTGAATGCCTGACAATAACTCAATTATCTTTGTTAGATAAGATACATGTGCTAATGTCGTATGTGTGTCTTATCTAACAACCTGTCGGTATTTCATACCATTTTAATATTCACTCGATTACCTTTGCCCATACTGGTTTATCATTCATGTAGATCTGCTTGCAAAACCTACCCCAGCAGTGTGTCTGCAACCAGACGAGCCTGGCCCATGGCCGGGCTCAGAGAGCAGATACTCTCTCGAAACTCTTCAGAAGTATATATATCATATTTCAAAAGTTTTGTCTCCCGTGAAGATCTTGTACAGCCTCTAATTTTCAGCCTTATTTGCTTGTGTTAAATGGATCATTTCATAAATTACCACCTTTATATGAAGAACAAAAACACACAATACCGTGACTGGAACAATATGCAAATAACAAGCTTATGACGACGTTTCGGTCCGATTTGTACCATTTTACCAAGTCACATTGTGACTTTCTAAATGGTCCAAGTCGGACCCAAACGTCATCGTAAGCTTCTCTTACCTGTCTGAGTTATTTGTATATCTTTGTATTTCTGTTTTCCTTCTGGTGGTTTATACTAAGGTGAAGCCTGGAGCTCCTGCTGTTGTTTAGTGGGAACTATTGTTGTACCAGTGTCGGTATAATATACTCTCTTAGCTGGTTTGAATGTCACTTTTTTTTTGCATTTCTGAAATCATCAGGTGATTATAGGGGAAGCCAGGCAGTAATAATAGAGGACGGCAGATGGTAATAATGGAGGAAGGCAGACAGTAACAAGAGGAAGGCAGTCACAGTAATAATAGAGGAAGGCAGACAGTAATTATAGGGGAAGGCAGACAGTAATTATAGGGGAAGGCAGACACAGTAATTATAAAGGATGGCACAGACAGTAATTATAAAGGATGGCACACAGTAATTATAAAGGATGGCAGACACAGTAATTATAAAGGATGGCAGACACAGTAATTATAAAGGATGGCAGACAGTAATTATAGGGGAAGGCAGACAGTAATTATAGGGGAAGGCAGACAGTAATTATAAAGGATGGCAGGCAGTAATTATAGGGGAAGGCAGACAGTAATTATAAAGGATGGCAGACAGTAATTATAAAGAATGAGACACATTAATTATAAAGGATGACAGACACAACAATTATAGGGGATGGCAGACACAGTAATTATAGAGGAAGACAAAGGGCATGAATTATTTTTAAACACTGAAGTGTTTCTTCACAATAAACGTACAAGTTAAACGCGAGGTTAATGAGTTTTTCAAGACCATAGTTTAAAACACGTTTATTTTTGGAAAAATCATATACACAATACCCAGCATTTAATGCTTTCATTGAATGCAGACTGGAAAGAATTTCGGTAACGGATCAACTAAATTCTTATGAATCTAAGAGCTAAAAAAATGTATTTTTTTTTTACAGAATTGCAGACATTTTGAACTTTCTTGTAACAACTTTTTTTTCTTTGTGAGAAGAAATTTAGGATACAAATATACAACCACTGTAGAAATATCACTCTACACTGCAGTCACGGGAAGAGCGCAACCCCAGTCACTGCCACAAGGAACGTTCATTATGTACAAAAACCAAGGGTAAAGCAGCTTAGAAATCGCATAGATTTTTACAACTACACAGTTACCTAACCATACGGGGTCCACTGACGCCAAAAAGAGCTTTATAATATTACAGTGTGGCCAACACAAGAGCATAGTAACAAGAAAAAAACTTCCGTTTTTCTTCAGAATTCGTAATAATGAGCAGTTGAAATGCATTAAAAAAAATGTGATTTGATGACAGATTAAATTAAAAAAATCTTCAGATTGACCGAGTGTGCACTTTTTCTCAGAAATTAAATTATTATTATTTGAATTTTATCACCATTAAAACATTGTAGGTTTAATTTAGTTATTCAGTTTATTTCTTGATTTGTACAGAATTTTTCACTTAAACAGAATACAGTATATATCATATACGTGGGATATTAATATAGTACATGGTGGGTAACCAGGAATATCAGTATGCATGGTGGGTAACCATGAATATCAGTATACATGGTGGGTTACCAGGAATATTAATACACATGGTAGGTAACCAGGAATATATCAAATTTAAAAATTTACACAATTTTAAAAACCTGTCCGTATTTAATTGGTAAGAGATGCACTGCTGAGACACACACGGCTATCTGGATACGTTCTTTATTGTTATTACATATTAAAATATAAATGATGACAATAATAAATCATAATGACAAAGTATAAAAACATGAACCTTTAGAAAGCAGTACTCAGCCATGGTTATCATTGTTGGAAGTGAGCGAGTGTACAGCTGGATAAGTTTACCATTCGTCCGTAAACAGTGGTAAATCGTCTTCATGTTGCACTCACAACTGCCTCCAGATGCTCTATATCGGCACTGGAGGTTATTTTAACACAGAACATCACAGAAATAATATCAATATTGCTGCATGTGTGAAAAGTTGTGTTTTGTTATTTTTTTTATTATTATTCTTGCTTGATTTATTTAAATGTTACCTATTATACAAAGTTAAGTAGGAGTAGTAATGAGTCCCCGCAATACGCCACTAAATGTCTGTGGCATCACCCACTGCTGCTAGGCTCGGCAGCGACCAAGAGCCATAGCTAGTAGTACACACCACTGCCCTTGGCAGGCAGCTCGGGTCAGATATATGGGAGTCTCCTGACCACTAAAGCGTTTATATTACATTTATTGGGATCTCCACAGTTTAGTCTCCTTTCTCGACCACACACTTGATCACCGCACCATATAATATCAGTCGCAAAAGTTAGAAATCGAAAGCTTGTTTTAAAATCGAGGTATTTATATTTTATAGGCGTTCTGTTAATCCACAAGTTATTGCAGAAAGTCGCTTAACAAAAAGTCTTGTAAACCACCAAGAGGAACGTACAATATACACACACAGGATGAAAATTCCAATCGTATACTGGATTCGCAATCGTATACAGCCGGCGCAGTCTCAAATCACTTTCTGCAATATAAAGTTTAAAGGATCTGTTGGTGAGGGATGGATGAGGCGCTGCAGAGTTAATGTGTCTGTAACAGAGTCAGTTTGAATAAGATTGCAACAGTTGGGTATCTTTATTGTTGAAACATTTCGCCTACACAGTAGGCTTCTTCAGTCACATATAGAGGCAGCAGGTGTAGTAGTGAAGTGAAGGTGACGTAATTAGTCCATCAACCTTGGAGAAATAGTATTTGAGGTGGTCAGTCCCTCAGCCCATGGAGCTGAACTCTTCAGGCTGTGGGACTGACCACCACAAATACTATTTTTCCAAGTTTGATGGGCTGATTATATTATCATTTCACTATACACCTACCTCTGTATCTGACTGAAGAAACTCACTGTGTAGGTGAAACGTTTCAACAATAATGACACCCAACTGTTGTACATATGTCTTAATCTTCAGTGAGTTACATAGAAATACACAGTCTGAGATAAATGATGATGCCACAAGATGGTAATTAAAGAAATATGGCTGAGCGTGCAGAGAGGATGTGGCTGTGACAGGTGTAAGAACTGGCTAGAAAGTCGTATATGGGGGAGGAATGTTGTGTTTGTGTGTCTGCGAATGTGGGTCTCTGGAGTGTACTTGTGGGCTTCTGTTTATACTGTGGGAGTGGTAAGTCATCCTGCCATCACACGTTTCCTGAGTTTGGGGGGTCACAAAGGCGAGCTAGGTCATTTTAGGTCATCTGTATGACCCGACCAGGGCGCATCGTGCTGGTTTGGATGATAGGTTACAAACAGTAGATGTATTCTTGTGGCGGTTGTCGGTAATGTTCTCTCACCACTGCACTCAAATAGTCATCATTGTTTTTAGTATATTTCTCATAAAATGAAAATCTGGTGCAAAATAATTACATATCACTTTCAAATGAGTTTATTGGTCTCCGGGTCAGTTGCTGCTGACGGCGCAGTAACTGTGCTGCCTACGGCGCTAGGCTGCAGGTGTTGACGATGGTGATGCCTTCTAGAGGTGCTGCTGCCGTCACGGTAACGGGAGATGCAGGCTAGCGGTGGTGGTATTCAGGTGACTTTAAGATACCCAGCGGCGGGATAAGAGCAGGGTTTCATGCCCAGCTCTGCCCTGCCGCGCCAAGCGTGCGTCACCGTCTCAAAAGTGACGTAAGACACCCGAGGTTTGCATACACTGATCCCATCACTCGGTGCACTGATTTGACACACTGAGCACTCGCTACGGCCGCTGGCCTACCCACAGTCCTTCCTGTAGCCGGCGGCCGATATTACAACACCTCGGGGATGAGCACAGGTCTGTACAGGGCATCAGAGACCACACTCACGCCTACTCACGCCTCTACACGCTGCAACACAACACAATCTAATCAAACTATAATAGGGAGAAAAAATAATATATTTAAAATGAACTTCATTCAAAACTTCACGAAGGGAATGTATTTTTTTTTTTTTTACAAATTATGATTTAAACTTTGACTTTAACACAATCTTAGAAGTTTATTACAATATACAGTATATATATTGTGAATTTTTAGGCATAGATAAGTCTTGACTTGTTTAACAACTATCTTGTGACACAAGCTTTTATTAGGACGACGTTTTGCTCTAAGGACCCTTTCTCAAAGAAGCTCTTGAGCGAAACGTTGTCCCAACATAATCCTAATCTTCTACTTTGTCGGTCATACACCTCAAACAGTGACCAGTTTAGACCGTTACTACCTAAAAGGGACTTCACCGATACACTATACACCAAAGATATGTGATGGTTCAGATCATAGCGATGACTTACCGAACCTATAGATGGTGCGGGTAGTTGTATGCGGCTGCTGGATGACCGTAGTAAGCCGCGGCTGCTGCATGGTCCGTGTAGGGGTCTGATCGGAACATATGTTGTTGCCCGTCCATCATGTAGCCCATTGACGCCGCGTCAGGAGAATACGCACCCGCTGGACCTGCAAAGTGCGGCACTGTGGCCAACATATTCATTACCCAGGTGAACCGCCGTTTCTCATTACCTACGGCAAGTGGAAGAAGCTGTCAGCCGATAAGAGAGAGATAATCCAAGTCTATAATGTAATGACGATTCGCTGAAGAGAAGCCATAAGAAGCCACACCTCTATCAAACTCTATGAAAATCGTAACTGATAAACCTTTATTATCTTTGTCAACTTATAACTTGATGATATGTTATCAGGTTGTACCTCGTGGAACTTTATCAAGTTATTGTTAAAGCTTCCCTCTGAAACTTCATCATGATAAAAGGTACAGTGATACCTCTTAATGCATTGCCTACAAGATCTGACCTACTTCACCTATGATGCAAACAGTGCCACAATGCAGATTTCAAGAAAATCCATATATATGGAACCTAATAAACCATACCCCCGGCCGGGATTGAACCCGCGGTCACAGAGTCTCAAAACTCCAGCCCGTCGCGTTAGCCACTAGACCAGCTAGCCACAATAAGATTCATCCAACTAGGTATATTTCTAAGTTATGGAACCTAATTACTGCTAGTTAATATATAAAGAGAATGAAAGTATTCAGATTTAAACTACACACAATTTCTCACTTGTTGACGATATCTGATCTTTGCGTATTGTTACGCCACCAGTAAATGATAGATTACTCGCCAGAATATTTAGCAGAGAGAGAGAGAAAACCAGGAGCATTCATTGTTGCAGCCGTAGCAGCACGAGGAAGATATAAATAAAGGCTAACCTCTCCCGCAGACTTTTCATTCACAGACAGTTTTAGGCAGATGAAGAAGGTCGCCTTGGGCGAGGAGCCGACAAAAGAGGGTGTTCATGTCTTTGTTTTGTTGATAATGGTTGAGCGGATGTGTGCTACGGAGGCAGACTAGCCGCCCTAACAACCTGCTGTATCAATGCTCCTTTGTTCTAACCTTCTAAGAGCTCACTGGTCGGAAAGCAAAGATGAGAAGAATACAGATGCAATGTTCAGAAGATAATAATAACATCCACTAGCCAGATACACAGCAAATTTCCATTCTCTCTCTCTCTCTTAGGCTGCTGCCCAGTAATTCGTCATGGGTTGTCAAAATGCACAAAAGCAGGCCTATCCTTCCCACAGGCCTAAGAGGATTTCTCAATCAGCTGATGAGAATCTCGCCTCCAGCTAGTGCTGGAGGGGAGAACATGAGATGTTTGGGAGGAGGAGAGGGGAAAGGGAATGGGAAGGAACGGTAGAGAAAAGACAGAAGTCTGTGCGATGGGAGAGGATCGAGAAGTTTGAGGGGACAGGAGAGAAAAATAAGGGATGGCAGAGAAGAGATAGAGAGAATTGAAGAGAATAGAAAAGTTAAAGGGGACTGCAGAGAAGGGTGATAAAGGAAACAGGATGGAAAACAGAGTGGATTGCCGGGGAGGACAAATGACCACCGAAACAATGAAATGATAAGATATTACTAAAAATACGTGTGTTCTACCCGAGTTAAGAAACTCACTTACACATAGTTACAAATTCACGTACACAACATGAAAAGTCGGCGGTGGAGTAAACACGTTTACAAATAATTCTCAACGATAACACCAGGGCAAGTCAGATACATAATACATTTTTAAGAATAATACTAAGACTACAAAATGCATCTAAGTCCTTAATACTACAAAATAAGAATACAGGAAATCTTTTAAAGATAATGCAAGGATTACAAAACAGCTACAGTTCCTAAAAATAATGATAGAACTACAAAACACTGTAAATAATAGGTCACTAAATTATAGAACAGATGCTCACGCCGAGCACACACCAAAAGTGCAGTGTAACAGCAGAGTATGGAGTAAGCAGGTTCACAGTGGTACAAGCAGGTAAACAGAAGCATCAATAAAATGGCAATAGCATAATCAGGCAGACAATGGTGTAAGCAGAGACAGTGGTGTAAGCAGACACAGTGATGTAAGCCCACAAGACTTAATTAAGACACAATACAAGAAAAGCCTTATTTTAAGAAGTTTAATTCACGGTGAAGCTTTATCAGACACAGTGGAACTTTATCACCCAGTGAAACTACTAGCCATAGGAGAGCTTTATCAGCCACAGCGGGGCTGATAAAATCAATTTAAAGCCCCAGTGTGTACACAGAGCTCAGCTAGTGCTTGTTGCTAGTCACCTCAGATGCTTAAATAAGACAGTTAAATCATGCATCAGCTAGTCTTTCGTACCAGACCATCAGAGGGGGAGCCTTAACGCTGGTGAAGGGGCTCTTCATCCAAGACACTAGAGTTCCCCCCTCCACCTCGAATCAAACCAGATTACCTCCCATTACCCAGGTACAGGGTTGGTGCTTCCCCATTCCCTGGGCATTATACAATGTCCAGAGAATGGAAGGTAAACTGGAGTGGTACAAGGAAGGGAAGGATAGTTCTATTTCCATTGATCAAGAGTCTGACCTGCATCAAGAACCCCTCTCCAGCAAGTCCTTTAACTACGAAATTGGAGCATTTGCGACACACAAGATTGTCAGATAAATATTAAAAAAAAAAGGTTACCCAATTTTCTCCATATATATATATATATATATATATATATATAATATATATATATATATATATATATATATATATATATATATATATATATATATTATTGTGTGTGTGTGTATTGTAAGCATTGCTTCCATGTCTTGGGACACGTGTCAGTCAACTTGTACAAGAAAGGGGAAATATCCCCATCATTTATGCTGGAATATTAACAACAGCCGAGGGGTGGTGTTACAAACGTACAGAAACACATGCACTAGAGTGTCTTGGGTGAAACGCCTATCATGCGGAGGTGGTGCCTAGTATCTCGTAAATTTTTCAGAAAAAAAAAATATCTGGGATACAGGTTAACTTAATATTCATGTCATTAATATGAAATATGAAGTGTTATTTATAATACAGGAAGCTATATATCTGAAGGTGATTACTGCCAGCCAGACTGTACTTGTTCCCCTTCCACGAGAAGGGTGGGAAAGTGTGTATGTATATATATGTCGTGCCGAATGTGTAAATCTTGCTATTTTGGCTTGAATAGCAACGCTCTTCTTGCCGAATAACGCAAGCTAAAATTTGTGTATGCACTAATCATTCTGAACCTAACGATAAAAATATATTTAACTGTTTATTATTAAATCATTTTAAACCCATCTAAAATATATGTAATTGGATTAGGCTAAATTAAATTGAACTTGTTAGGTACGTTTTCTAAGGTTCTTTTGGTACAAAAATATTAAGTTTTACATTAATATAAATGAAAAAATATATCTTTAAATGTACAAGAGAAAATTTCAGAAAGGACTTAATTTTAAGCGAGGTGTTGCTGACCAATTTTACCTGTTCGGCACGACACACGTATGTACATATTTCAGCCTCCAAATGAGGTCATCTTCAGTGTGTGTGTAAATTTGTAAGAAGTAAAGATTATAGAAAAAAAAATGAAACAAGAAATGAAAGACGAGAGACGAAACATGGGAAAAGTGAAGAGGTGAGAGAGAGAAGAAAGGGGCAGAACATAAAACAAAAAATGGAGAAGGAAACCTACAAGAGAACTTGATAAGCGAAAGATAAAATACGTAACTAATGAAGAGTTGAAGAGGAACTAAAGAGTGACGAGGGAAAAAATGTACAACACTGAGGAAGATAGAGAGGAAGGGGAGCCCAGAATGAGAAATAGTGGTGATTAATATGTGCGGGAAGAGGAAAGTGCTGGGGAGAGGGTAGATGGTGTGGGGGAGAAGCAGTGAGGGGAAGAGTTGCATGAGGTGTGGGGGAGGAGCAGTGAGGGGAAGGGTTGCATGAAGTGTGGGGAGTAGCGTGACGGGAGATTGTAAATAAGGTGTGGGGAGTAGTTGTGAGGGGAGGGGTTAAATGAGGTGTGGGGAGGTGCAGTGAGGGGAGGGGCAGTGAGGGAGAGGTGAGAGGCAGTGTATTAGAGAAGGAAAAGTGTGAAAAAAGGTTGTCTAGAGAGGAAAGGTTCATAAGGTCCAGCCCCGTGGCACGCCTGACAACAACAGCCTAATTGACCAGTCTGTCTCGCAACAGGGAGGTCTTAATTTGAGGCCAGAGAGTAATCCCACTCTAAAAACCAGTGACAGGTATATCCAAGTTGAAGCGGGTGGATGGAGGTTTAGCGTGACCCCCTGGCCTCACCACTAGAGGCACTATAGTGCTGGTGGGTGGAGGTTTAGCGTGACCCCCTGGCCTCACCACTAGAGGCACTATAGTGCTGGTGGGTGGAGTTTAGCGTGACCCCCTGGCCTCACCACTAGAGGCACTATAGTGCTGGTGGGTGGAGGTTTAGCGTGACCCCCTGGCCTCACCACTAGAGGCACTATAGTGCTGGTGGGTGGAGGTTTAGCGTGACCCCCTGGCCTCACCACTAGAGGCACCATAGTGCTGGTGGATGGAGGTTTAGCGTGACCCCCTGGCCTCACCACTAGAGGCACTATAGTGCTGGTGGGTGGAGGTTTAGCGTGACCCCCTGGCCTCACCACTAGAGGCACTATAGTGCTGGTGGGTGGAGGTTTAGCGTGACCCCCTGGCCTCACCACTAGAGGCACTATAGTGCTGGTGGGTGGAGGTTTAGCGTGACCCCCTGGCCTCACCACTAGAGGCACCATAGTGCTGGTGGATGGAGGTTTAGCGTGACCCCCTGGCCTCACCACTAGAGGCACTATAGTGCTGGTGGATGGAGGTTTAGCGTGACCCCCTGGCCTCACCACTAGAGGCACTATAGTGCTGGTGGGTGGAGGTTTAGCGTGACCCCCTGGCCTCACCACTAGAGGCACCATAGTGCTGGTGGGTGGAGGTTTAGCGTGACCCCCTGGCCTCACCACTAGAGGCACTATAGTGCTGGTGGGTGGAGGTTTAGCGTGACCCCCTGGCCTCACCACTAGAGGCACTATAGTGCTGGTGGATGGAGGTTTAGCGTGACCCCCTGGCCTCACCACTAGAGGCACCATAGT